CTGAGCTTTCACTGTGTGTTAAAACCAGAGCAGGAAAAACAAAATTGATTTTTGTGTATTTCACAGATTTGGCATTACTACTGAAGCATTTTTCTGTAACAATTAACCCATTAACCCCTTCCTTTACTGATATATGGCATTTAGGCCTGAATAGATTATTTATGTAGTGGAATAGCTGCATGCTATTAGCTCAGAGGGACTGTGGCAGGGAGTGGTTTTTGCTGGTTGTGGCACTAAAAAATGGGTCTTGCATTTGGCTATAAATTTAATTAATTAATTAAACTGCTGCAGTTTTGTGGAGTCCTGGCAGTACTGGAGCATCTCCATGTGAGGGACTCTCTGGGAACAGGAGCAGGATCGTGGGTCTGCTTAAATTTCCCTCTGTAAAGTCAAATGTATGTGTCTGTACACTGGATGGGTCCTCAGATCTGTAGACACTGAAGATATTAAAGTGAAATTCCTGAATTTTGGTTTGCAGGGGAAATTTGGGTATGTTTTGATGCAGTTTGTGTTTTCAGTTTCACAGTTTGCTCTGTATTATGTAAGAAATTGTGCTCTCTCTTGGAAATGTGTTTATATAGGGGTTTTTTTATAGAGTTTTTTGAATCTCAATTAATTACATGAATGGTGATAACTGATTTTTTTTTTTTTAGCATATATTAGTGAGAGTAAATTTTTTGTTTCTTGTGACACTAAATAAAAAGGAAGGCTGTTGAGAAACAACAATATCCTTCTTCAGCTGCCTTCCAGCAAGCGAACAGTTTGCAGTTTGGTGGGGAGCAAAGCAATTTTCCCTCAGAAGCAGCAATATTTAGGATGGAGAGGGAGGAATGGGTGAAGACTTGTGTGAGTACAGCAAATCTGAGTGCACAGGATTAGAGTGTGTGTAATGTGGGAATGGCAGGGAATGCAATCTGGGCCTGGCCTTTCCCAGCAGGTCCCAGCAGCAGCAGTGGGGCTGCAGGCTCAGCCATGACTCTGCTTTTCCCATTCCTCAGCCTTCTCTCAGTCATTTGATTTCGTTTTAAGTAGCCCTGTGATGATTTGAGTTTTGGTGGTTTGGTTTTAAGTAGCCCTGTGAGAAGGAGGGAGTTGGACTCGAAACCAACTCAAAATATTCTGGGATTCCTGTTTGTCTCCAGGCATAAACCCAGAGTCATAACAACCTGAGAGAGACTCAGACAAGGCATGGAGCCTCTCCCTCTTGTGGAGTCCATCAGAATTTAAATTTCAGAAGCTTATTCAATGGAAAAATACATCCTTAGAGAAATTCCTTGCTCTGCTGCTGTTCTCCAGTACAGCTGGGATTCTATGGGCTGTGCTGCCAGCAGGTTTTGAAAACCTGGGGAAGAATTTGCCTATTTGTGAATTAAAACCTGGTATAATTTTATAAGAAAACATGAGGAATTTCACAGCCTATTACTATTTTCCCCTGAAAATCTCTCTGCATGACACACAGGGAGCTTGGGTGTGGATTTGCTGTGGGGATGTGAAACTCTGTCCCCGTGCAGCCCTGGGGGGACGTTGCTCAGTGTGTGCTGGCATTTCGTGTCTGAAGGGTTTTCATTTCTTGATGAGGCTGAGCCCCAGCCAGGTGCATCTCCTGCTCCCTGAGCTGTTGTTCAGGGAATTTTGGGAGCCCTCCAGGAAGGTGTTGGTTCATCCAACATTTGTGGGACATCCCAAACTTAATTAACCTTTCCTGTTAACCCATTAATTTCTCTGTGTTTCCTTAGTGCAGTGTTGTAAAGTCTCCCTGTGTTTAGTTGTTACCTCTTGGAAGACATTTTACAGAGCAAGACAAATATTTATGATTAAGCATGAAGAGGAAGCACGTAAAATATTTGTGTTTCTCATCAGTGCACGTCAGGGTCCTGATTGCTGAAATTGAAATTCTGGACTTCACAGTCAACTTTCCCTGAGATGATTTGTGCTGTGTAAGACTCCTCATTCCATTGCCATGTCCTTTATACACTGAAACAAAAGGAATTTGCTGCTTTTAAAATTGGGGGCAAAGAGTAAATTCACCCTGTTTTTTTATTCAGGCCGGCTCAGCTTTAGGGGATTTAAGTGATGTAATTGTATTGTACTGGGCCCCACAACTAGTCCAACTGAAAAAAAATAATCTTCAAAGTGAATATTTTAGTGCTTCATGCAAGGCACATTGCTCAGTGTCTTGGGAAAAAAAGTGAAGCTTTTCTTATATTTGTGAACCGAAGGCCATTGTTGTACAGGTTTTCTAAGCTTCTGTACAAATCTGAACTGCACAAAAAATAGAGACTGCTGGCTCCCACATCCTTAAAAATGAAGTTTTTTTCCTGCTTATAATGAGATGTTGCATTTATTCATGGGATTAGGTCCTTAAAAGAAAGGAAGGTGCATAAAAACCACATTCCTGGAAGTTTACATCATAATATCTCAAAATAAAAATGTCTTCCTGAGGAAGAAGATGCATAAATTTGGAGCCTCACTATGAGCACAAGGCCTGATATCTTGTCCTTTTAAGTTCAGATTTGTTGTGTTTCCATCTGACTGGACCAAAGCTGCTGTCCCAGTGTCTTGTGACACTTGGCAGTGTGGATGGGTTTGAATAATCTTCGAGTTTTGGGTTTGATTCCAGTGTGGAGTGGATTTATTAGATGTGTTTTGCAGGGAGAGGGATTTGTTATCCGTGGCTCATTTTTGAATTATTGGATCTTTGGGAGGAGAAGGGGACATTTTCCCCTCCCCATGGTCCCTCCAAGGTAACAAATGTGGGCAGAACTCTTTATATTCTTCTTTCTGAGGTAGATTTTGTTCTGGGAAAGGGGAGTGATGTGCTTAATGTAGTTCAGTGTCAAACAGCTGTAAAATTAAAATATCTGTATTCAGCAGCTCCCTGGAATGTGGGATTTGGGGGATAACTGAGCCAAACAGCAGGAGCAGATGGAAAACTGATCCATCAGACAGCTCCTATCACTTTGGGCTCTGCAGGTGTCACTGGTGTGCCCATTCTGAGGAATGGGGAGGAGTTTTGTACTTGGGATTTGGATCCTTTGGGTCCTCTGTGGGAGGAATTTAAACCCTAAATGGTATTTTTGCCATTTGAGTTTAGGTGGGGAAAGAAATGTTGATTTTGGTAGTGATGATTTTTGCTGAATAATTTTTATTGTCTCATAAATGTGTGGGGAATGTGATGGCTTAGATTGACACAGATGTGCTTCCCCTTAAAGGAGTGTGGAATCGATGTGGTTGTGGAAATAAAACATATTTGGAGGGGTGGTGGATGCTCTCTAGCAAATTTGAAGATAATTTGCACAGGTATTCTAAGAATGCAAAACCAAAACCCCAAAACAATCATCACCAAAACTGTGGTACAGAATTTTGTTCCATTTTCTCCAGTTTCTGCTGGGGAAAAAAGGCATTTTCCTTTTTCTGTAAGGAGAGGAGCAGTCATCCTATTCCCAATTATTCCATCAGCTGTGAGTGAGACGCCAAAATAAAATCTTTTTTTTTTTTTTTTTTTAAATATACATCATGAAAAGAACCTCTAGAAGTAAACAGCAATGCACTGACTCAGGGCTTGTGGCATTTCTTTGATCTCTTTGCTAATGGAATTACCCTGCTCTCCTGCACTGCAAACAGCCTCTTTGTGAAGATGTAGGATTATGTTCTTTGTCCTATTGTCAAAGTCTGGCCTGCAAACCACAGAAGAGGATGTGAATACTGTAACTTTGGGCTTGGCAGCTTCCTGACCTTTCTGAAAGGCTCTCAGTGCTGCAGCAGCTCCTCCAGGGCTGGCAAGGTGACAGACGAGATGAATTAACTGGGCTTTTCCGTCTCTTACGTGTCAGATTCTTTGTTTTATATGGAAATAATTCCTGTCAAAATGGGAAATTTATCGTGAGGTTACTTCCTCTGCCTGCAAAATGAAAATGTCAGCCCCAGGTCTGTGTGAATGTGTCTTCTGTTAGGAGCCATGGGTGGAGCCACCTTTGTCCCTGGATGCCACCATCGTGTTCTCCAGTGTCTGAGCACAAAGTCAGGCAGCTCTGCTGACCTGTGGGAGTTGGAACATGTCACAAAAAGTTAATAACAAAACCAGTAACAAGTTAATAAAAGTTGGTAATATTTGAGTACTCACATTTGAAATATTTATAAGTTACCTGAATTTTTCTCTGTGTTGTGTCACTATAGTGAATGTCTCTATCTTTTCATGTGTATCTTTTCATATATGTGAATGTACATAAAATATTACAGAAACATTACTATTGATGTACCATCCAGTCTGAAGAAACCCAGCCGGGTTTCTACAGATATATCAGGTTTAATATGTCAGATAGTGTAGGCTGTTGATATGAAATATCTTTGCACAGAGATTTAACATCTGTCATTACTGTAAAGGCTGAATAGACATCACAGCATTATGGCTTTCTAATAGATTAAGGAGGAACCACGTGTCAGGCATTGCCCTGCTTTGCATTTTGATTTATGACAAGCAGGGAATAATCCTGCACCTTGTCTGAGCAAAGATGGCACTGGGATAATTTTCTTGGTTTTTTGTTTTGTTGTTTTTTTTTAATCTGGAAAGGCAATCATGCTAAAAAGAGTTTGTTTAAGTATTGGGGGGCATTAAATCTAATTTAATGAAATCTAATTTGTTAGTATTTATTCGTTGTTACTATTATTAAATTTTATTAATTAGATTGATTAATGAAAGGGGTTCTACAGTGGGTAGAGAGCCATTGAAGGGAAGAGAAGCTTTGAAGGTGGAGGTTTTGTTGTGAGCTGTGGACGCCGTGTTTGGGCGTGTGAAATTCAATCGGAGAAAGCGAAAATAACTCCGGCCTCGCATCGCCTTCTTCAAAGCCCTGCAAAGGGAAGTTGGGCAGAAGCTGGGACAGGAAATTGAAATCTGAATACTATTTTAAACTGATCGGGTTAAAGGCCTCTCTTTTACACCAGCACACTCGTTCTTTTATTTGATACTTGAACTCTGAAAATTTTCTGTGACTTTCTAGGGAGAAGGAGGAGCAGCTGAGGCGGGTGACGGAGGTACAGAGGCTGCAGGCCCAGCAGGCAGGCGCTGCCCTGGAGGAGTTTAAGCGGCAGGTGGAGCTGAACTCAGAGAAAGACTCTGCAGAAATGAAACAGCGGGTGAGGAGGTCACAATGCCAGCCTTTCTGAAACTCTGGCGCAGTGGGATAGCGGATTCTGATCTTATAATGCCAGAAACATGCTCCACTTGAGAGTGCTACATCAAAATCTCTCACAATGTAGTGTCTTTGCGGCGAGTCAGAAAGGGATGGTGGCGGGTGTTTCATCTTTCTGACAAAGCCAGAATTGTCATTGTTATAAAGATATCTGCAGTTATGATACTGATTAGGGATTTTTCAGGAGTGAGAGTATAAAGGGTTAGTTTATGCACCCTATGGAACAACGCTTGTCGTTTCCCACTTAAATGTGGCTCTTCCTACTCTTTTCCCAGCGACTCTGTCTTCCATTAATGAGCTCCTGTAATCAGTTTGAGCCCAAACAGGGGCAGAGCCATGGTGGCTGCTGGCAGTCATGTGCAGAGGATGGGAAAATCCACTTTTCTGTCCCTGAAAATCAGGGAGTTTAGTGGCCTAAATTTCTTATGGAACAAACAGTAGTTAAACCGTTCTCCTGGGAGTTTATAAAAGCAGCCCAAGGAGTGAAGGAAAGGAGGAGCAAGCAATAGGTGATCAAAAAGAACAGGAGAGAAGGGATATTTCCTAACTCCTCATGTGGTTGAGATTACCAGCTTGTAATTCTGTATTACAAGTTCCACCCTCACCTGCCTTGACCAAACCTCACTGCTGACAGGAGGGTGCTGCAGGCTGGGACTGGAATGGGTGGCTGAGAGTGCTGATTTAGGACTGAGGAAATTCCCTTTTTGTTGTTCTCAAAGTGTTTTGAAAATCTTCACTGCTGCTATTTTTAATACCCATGCAGACAGCGAATAATAAAATTTGGAAATTTAAAAAAAAAAAAAAAAAGCAAGAACAAACTTATAAAAGCAAGATGTGTTCAGCAAACCAGACCCACTAGGGCAATACAACAAATCCCACAATTTTAATCTGACATTTTCTGTACTGTGTGACCCTCCTGCAATTTCTTCATGATGAGTTAAAATAATATCCTAGTTCTGATCTAAAAGGGATGTTGTCTAATTCTAGAGAAGCTAATAATAGTTTCATTCACTTAAAAAAAACTTTCAGCAAAGAAAACCAATCCAAAAGAATTTGGAAAACATAGTCAACTGTAATTTTAAAATGACAGTAAATTTCCTTCAGAATATTGCTGCATTCTGGGAAATTTTGAAAGTCAGTTTTGCTGTACTCCATGAACCAGCCAGAGGTTTACTCTTTCCCTGCTGGGGTGTTAAAATCTAGAAATACTAAATGATATTGTGCAGTTGAGTGGCTCTGTTCTACAGGAACCAAGGAAATCCAAGGAAATCCATCACAGGAACACTGCGGAAGCTCTCTCTTCATGGCTTTGGCCTTTCTCATTCCTCTGCATCCACAAACTGTTAGATAAATCCCCTGTACATTGGAACATACTGGAAATTTCTGTGTTTTGTGCTGAGGTGGAGTGTATTACTTACAAAACAACTGCAGTAGCCATAGCAACACTGTCCTTTTATCTGCATTAGGAATACTGGGCTTTAAACCCATTTTTGGTGTGAGATAAAGTTAATTATGGAGATGAGTATGATGGGGTCATTTTCAGTTGTTGCAATCAATATTTGATTCTTTAGTTTGGCTCTGTGATAATATCATTTATTTTGCCATCTGCTTCCTATTTTGTCAGGCTTGTGATTATTAAGAGTCACCTGATGTCCACTGGTGGGTGGGTGGCACGTGTTTAACTGCAAGATCTGCATTTTTTCCAGTGCTAATTAAAATAAAACATAGGCTATGTCATGGTACTGGAGATCTGGGGCTTCCTGGGTTTGGCAAACAATGATCAAGATTCTTTGCTGGAAATAGATGAACGTGACCTAACAAATCAATCTGCAGAAGCCAGTAGATTTAAAGCATCTTTGCATGTGTTTTTACTATTTCATTTTTTAGAACATTTTCATTCTCTCAAAAAAAAAAAAAAAAAACCAAAACCAACTCCTTTAGTGCAGTAACAAGATCTGTTATTTTTCTGGGTTTTATTAACCTGAGTAAAATATGGCCATGGATATGCAATTTGAGTAAGTTTGGAGCCGGAAGAAAATGATTCATAAAACATTGATTGCAGTCCCTTTTCTTAATGGCAGATGATGGCAGGGAGGTTCAGGAGCTGCTTCCTCACTGCTTTTTCCACTTTCTGTGTGCCCAACTGCTCCTGCTCCAGTCCCTTCCTTTCCTGCTGGAGTGCTCTGCAATAAAATGCTGTTCCCACTCCGGGTGCTGCCTTTTCTCCTCCTTCCTGGCTGGGGAGGGATGTCCAGGCCAATTGGCACAGACATCTGTTGAACACTGAGCGCTCCCTCAGGCCAAGCAGGATTTTGGCTCGTGGTTCAGAAATTCCTGGGTTTCTCCTTTTTGTGGAGCAGATGGGTTTGTGGTCCTTCAAACCCCTCCACTTCTTTTCCCTTTTTAGGGACACGGTTGATTCACTGCTTATGTTGGGATCTAGATCTAAAAGTCATTGATGAGTGTGCTCTGCAGCAGAGTTGCATATATATATTTATATATGTATTCCCTTGGAAACATGCCTGATGTACGGCTAACAGTTGTGCTTTTGATACAAAAGCCTTTGTTAATTGAGTTGTGAAATTGCTTCCTTGATGCTGCGTGCTGGAATCTGTGGGACTCATTATTCATAGGCGATGACTATCTTCAGAGGACTTCACTTGCAGCCAAATAATTCTCTTTTAAGTTATTTAAAGTTATTTTCTGATTTAATGTAAACTTGCCTTAATTGTGCAGTTTATGCTCTGACTCGCACATGATTTCCCTTGAATTTCCACAGGCTGTGTATTTTTAAGTGAAATATATTTGAGTCTTAAATGTGTCTAGAGAAAATATTCACTTAATTTCGATGGGACATTCAGCACTGTTGAGTGAAAAACGGAGCCAATCCTTTGTAATTAGGGAGTGGCATAACAGTGATCACTGTGTCCTTGAGTAACTAATAATCCTGTAGAGGCTGAATATTCATTTCCACCACATACAAATGGTGTTTTTATCATTCCCAACAAGTTATTCTCCTCTTTGATGGTTTACAAACAACTGTAGAAATGTCAGAACATTTCAAGCTCTGCCTTTCTTTTAAAAAAAAAATTAAATATTCCCTTTCTTTTCCCATGTAGATGGCAGAGGTTGAAGCAGATCTAAGCAGATCAAAATTGCTCCGGGAAAAGCAAGCCAGAGAATTCTCCTGGCAGTTGGATGAGATCAAGAAAGGATATGAACAACAGGTCAGTTGCTTTGCTCCTCCAGGTGGAGGGGAGAAAACACCCTTCCTGCAGCTGTAGGTCACTGTGTGTAGCTGTCCTTCCTATAAAAACACCATTTATAGATAGATATGCAGAGTTTTGTGATGGGGTTGGAGGGGGATGTGGTATTTTCTACACAGAAAATACTTTTGGTTTCCCCTTCACAGCCCTTTGTACCTCTGACTCTTTCAAATTGTTTCCCAGGCTCACAGGTGGCAACACCTATTTTCATAATCACCAGGTTCAATTATTTAACACATTATCTGTTTCTCTTCTTGTCAAGAAACAGCAGTTTATTCTTTTTATCATTTTTGACACGGGGAGTGTTCGTATGAATGCTTGTTTTGGCCCACTGAACGTGATTTTCTTCTTTGTAGTGTAATTTCAGGGTTGGGAAATACTCAGGAAACATTTGGGTGGAGACAAGAAGGTTTTGTTCAGTACTGCTGTGAAATGTAAAGGGGGTGGAAGCAGAAGGAGAGAAATTATTGCATGGTACAGATTTGGGAGCTGAGGAGCTGCACCAGACACGGTGTGAGCTGGTTCTTGGTCATGAAATTAAAGTGGCCTTTGTTGGTAACACCTGCTGAAGGACTGAAAGGGGGTTTTTAGTATACTTTGTAGGAATGAGGTGGTTAATCCATGAAAGTTCTCTCTTATCACTGTTCTTGTGTTGATCTAAGCTTGCATTTCCAGCAGGGAAGTGTGGTTTCATTTCTGTTTATCTTCTGTGCCGTGAGAGGATGAAACGCTGCGGTTGGCTGTGGAGCCAGGCCTGCTCTGGCCCATCTGGAAGGGGCTTTTTCAGGGAATTTAGGAACAAGATCACTTTGGTAGGTGTTGAGAGACCCCTGCTCTGGGCTGGGGAGGAACAATGGTGTGTTTTGTGTGTGGCTCTTGGAACAGAAGGGATTTTGTTGGGTCAGATCAAAGCAACGTCACCACTTGTGCTGCCACCTGACAGAGGTGACACGTTGGCCTCTGGCAGGGTGAGGGACATCTCACAGGTGTTCAGCTTAACTGGGAGATGTTGTTTATGATGATTCCTGCATTAAGTGATTCAGAAATAGAGATACTGGGGATTTGTGCAGGAAAGGTGAAGAAGTTTGGTGTGTCAGGGACTCGCTGAAAGGAGAGTGATGGGAGTGTCAGGGTCAGTTGGATATCTGCCTTAAAGGAATTTTTTATTTAGTATTTTGACATCAGTTTAGGGATATGGTTGGCTCACATTTTTTCTTTGCAGTTCTCATAATTTGTAGTTCATCTTTAAAATCCCAAGTAAGCATTTATTCAAAGATTTTGTTGCCATTTTCCCATCCCAGATTTTAATCTGTAGAGATAAATGCTAACCTGCAGTGTATCAGGAGTTACAACATCCCTGTTCCAACCTACAAATGGTAAATTTTTATTTAATATCCCTTGTAACATTCACCAAGCCATAGATAAAATTTTCTGCCAATATTCAGCTGACTCTGCACACTAAAGGCAAATGACAATGCCTCATATTGTCATGGTTTGGTTTTATGTGTCTTCCTATATTTGACTGGGTCAAAAAAACCCACAAAGCAAGAAATTAATATGAGAGTTAAATTTTTTTTTGGTTAATCTGTTCTGTAGCAATGTTGGTGTTGTGGTAAACATCAGTGAAAGCTTTTTTCACTGAGATGTTTACTGCTTCCCATTTATTTTATTCAGGATAGCTGCTCTTACTGTAAGAAAGAAGAGACATTATGAGACATCACTGGAACCCGAGGGTTTCAGCCCTAAACAGCTAAACAATGAGAGCCTAAGAAGAATTTTCAGTGGAATCCTGTTTATGCCCTTTTTAAAAATTTATTTCTCTTTGTCCTTCATCTGGAATGTTCTTTGAAAGTTGGTGAGCATGAAGAATACGTGGCCCTTCCTGCCGATTGCAGGGGGTTATCAGTGAGAATGAGGCTCTTTTGGGAGGCACAAAGCCCCTGCAGCCCCACCACGGAGCAGGATGAGCTCAGTTCTTCCACTCTTAAAATTTCCTTTCAGTCCTTCCAACTTCTGTTTCTCTGCACTGCTCTCTATTTATGCTTCAGAACTTCTAAACCATTTTTTAAAGCAGACTTTTCCTTGCCTTGTTTTACTGCATATTTCTTTGGTTGTTACTTGGCAAGGAGCACTCTGATTTAAAGTGTTTAAATAGAGCAGTGAATTCAAAGTGGGGATACGTTTTGACAGGGCTCCAGCAGACTTCCAGTTGGAAATAGACACTCAACCAAAAACCTGGATATTTTAGCTACCTGAGAAATGTAGTGATTGCTTCGAGATGTTCTGCCTCAAGTGTCTGAATCTAATTGAAAAAATGAAGTTTAGACATCAAAAGGGAAGGGAAGTTGCCCCACAGATTTATTTTTGTTGGCTTTTATGGTGAGTGGCAAGGGTAGCACTGATGGCAACCTGGACAATTCAGTTGTCCATAATTTTAATCAGATTGGTAATAAAGAACCAGATTAACTGATGTGTTATCCAGTTCTCCAATCTGAGAGACATTTTGGGAGTGTAGGCACTTGGAGCAGTGGTTTCACTTCTCTGCTTTATCTGAATGGTTGACACCACAGGACGCTGCTAGAATCCTGATTTCAAAACAAATATTGGTGTGAACATGGACTGTTCATTGTGGGGCTGAAAGATTGCTCTGCCTGCAGATTAGACATACATTGATATTTATCTGATATTTATTACAACAAATACCCCAATACATTGATATTTATTTATCATTGTCTTTTGCTTCAAAAATAATTTGGAAAAAACCACAGCAGTTAATATTTTGTTAACTTTTCAAGTGCACTCCAATCCACTAATAAAGCAAAAAGGAACTTTTGGATCTTGCAGTATTTGGTTTCAGCTGTCACATGTCCCTCCTGGTCCCAGCTCCATCTGATTCGGTGCCACTTGCTTTTGAAGTATCCACTGAGAACACTCTCAGAGAGTGAAACTGGTGGCTTTTTTTTTTTTTCTTCTTTAAATATACTTTAGCTCAACTTTGTTCTACTTGCAGCTGTTAGATTTGAAAGTATATTTTGAAGAAAAAAAAAAAAATAACTCCAGCAGCACCAGAGTTCCTATCTGCTGGGAGCAGCTGCTTGCGGCACTTCAAAGCCAGTGGACAGCACAGTGAAGGCCTCAGCCTTTCCTGCCTTTGAAATGGTTGCAGTATCTGTAGTTGGGCTTTATGGCACTGTCAGCACAGGAAGAAAGGTTGTTTGGTTTTTTGCACCCCCTCCCTTTTTTCTTTTTTTTTTTTTCATTTTTCCCCCCTACTTTCTAATTACATCCTCAATCCAGCTCAAAATACCTGGGAAGTGTTTCTGACGAGTTCATCTTCTGTGAGCCCAAATGTTTGAAAGATCATGGGCCCGGGCTTTTCAGTAATGGATTTAAGTCAAATTTGACAGAAAAGTTAAGGAATTTGCTGGGTTTTTTTCCCATATCCTTGTCAGTTGAGCACTGTCTGAGAGCACATCTCTCGTGGGGAGTGGTGGTTCCATGGCAGAGATGGGACAGGGCTTCATGCAGGGACGTTCCCCAGCACGCTCAAGTACATGCACACCTTTGTTTCAAGCAGATTTTCATAAATTGTTGAGAATGGAACACTTCCAGTGAACTCAGTGTGATTCTAATGCTTAAATGACATTAGCTTGTCCTTTAAAAAATCCCCAAACTGTTAATAATAACTGTGATCACTGTTACACCCATTGTTTGCTGTGAAAAGTTGCTGAAGTGACTGAGTGAATGTGAAATAAATGAGATGCAAGATTAGTAAGAGAGCCAAAGCCTAGGAAATTTTATTTTCCATCAGTAGCAAACCATTTGAGTTATTGTGATAGCAGGATGAGGTTACCTGATGAACTGTGGCCATACTCTCTGAGATTAAATGCCAGCCTAAATATATAAATAATCCTTTTGATTTGGTTCATCTTTAACTGTGTTTATTCCCTTTGAAAGTAATTATTCATGCTTCCATAGGAAAGTGGAAAGTTGTTACATGATAGCTGAAGAATCACCCTGTATCTCAGGAAATCCTTTCTTGTGACATTTATTGTTGGGTTTTGACTTCTGTAAAAGTTATGAAGAAATTAGAGTTGTCATCTTGTCCTGTGTATCCAAATAGGGAAGAAAGAGACACCCTCAGAAATATGTTCCTGGCTATTTAATGAAATCACTTTGAAATCATGCTAAAGACAAGCCAATAGACAATGTCTTTAAGTTGGCAGCAAGACAAAGGTGTGGTTAAGTTTAAATATGCCTTTTATAATAAAAGAAGTGAAGTAAAGAAGTGCAAAATAGCTGGTTAAAAGTGAAAAAAAGCAGGTTTGTAATGTTACCTGCCAGCAGCAAGGACAACATCTGAGGTGCTGCTGGGGACACTGTTCTTGTTTCAGCAGTGTGCTGGAGCAGAGAAAAGTGTTATTGAGAGGAGAGGAAGAATATTCTGTAGATCTTTTTGTCTTTTATAACTTTCTAGTCAGGTTAATTTAAAGAAAAGAGTGAGGTTCTCTCAGGCAAAACATTCACTTAGTAATTAACACTAATGGAGATAACAAGCTCCACCTCCAGCTTGCTTTGTCCCCATACCCTTGCTCTGTTAGGAGTTCCTGCACCTCCATTCTGGCTTCCCTTCTGGCCTCATTCTTAATTTTCTGGTTTTTTAGCTTCTCTTTTACCAATCTGTTACCCACCCAAGGGAAGGAAACACTTGCAAAGCCCAGTTTGAAACCTGCTGTTCCTTGGACAGACCCATGTCCCAAGCATTTTTTAGCTGTTCATTTAACCTGGCCATTTATTTTCAGAGATCCACAATCCATTTTTAGTACGCTGGTTTAGTTGTGAGGAGAGAGTCTTTGTGAAAAGCTTTGTTCCTCTCCTCTTTGTCTGTACTCGAAGATAATTGAAATACAGTCTGTTCTTGCAAGGAGGCCAAATGAGCACGTTAGTAGAAGCTCTAAATT